CACGCTCAAGCCTCTCCCCATACTACCAGAGAGAAAAATGAAGAGTTTTGCTCCTTCCTAGACTTTCATTGATTGCTGTGAGGGCCCATGACTCATGTTTGTGAAACTGCTCCCTTACACTGTTTCCTTCTGTTTTAGAAAAGGCCACTGGGTCTCTCTTTCCATTATGAAGTTAGTCCTTTTCTTTCTTTCTTTTTTTTAACTTTTATTGATTCTTTTTTCACATCATGTACCCCAATCCCATCCTATCCTTCCATATCCGCCCTCTGCCCTTGCAACCTCTTCCCCAAAGAAAGCAAAAAATAAAATGAAAATTAAAAAGTAATATTGTCATAAAATCTGTGTTACGTCACACGTTATATACCCTTGTGTCCACACATCTTGATTTGCAAATGTTCGTTGGAATGAGTCACTGGTCTGGTCTGAGGCCTCTGACTTCTGCTACACCATCGATACTAGGAACTTACTGGGCCTCCTTGTGAATATCTTGTCCTGTGTCATGGAGATCCTGTAGCTTTGGTCCTGTAGAACCAGCTCCTTCATAGCAGTTCATAGAAGGAGTAGCTGTTGGAGTAGGCCAGCTCAAAGACCTGAATCTGGGCCTGGGTGGTTATGAAATTAGTCCTTAATGTACTTTAACTAAAGTAAAACATGCTAATGGCAAGAAAACATTGGATGTTTGGGCTTGGGAAAGTGGTCCAGCTGGAGTTCAGCAAATTAACAGGGAGATGGATGCGCCTGAAGGGTCTGTGTTCTCTTTGTCCTGTCATGTTGCCCAGGCACCATCATGCACAATACTTCATACATCCTTTCATCTCTGTGGTTTATTTTTTTAAACCAGATTCCAAAAACTGTATAGCCCATACTAGTCCCAAGCTTGTATCAGTCTTCCTGCCTCAGCCCCACAAATGCTGAGATTATAGGCATGAACCATCACATTCAGCTGAATCTTATGTTGTTGTTGTTCTGAGTTTCTAGGAACCCTTCATCACAGAAGTGATGGCTTGGTCAGGGAGAGGACCCAATGGAACCCTGATGGAAAGAGGAAAGGTGCTATCTCAAGGCCCAGTCCCAAGGCTGTAACCATTCGGCATCTGTTTCTGTGACTTGCAAAAATTCCACGTCTTGGTCTCTGAGTGGTTGTTGGGCCTTGGAGTTGATGTTTCTGAAAAACCAACCACATGTTACCCTCTTGACCCATCAGCCTTGCACTCTTAGCTTTTATAGCATCTTACTCCAAGGGCGATGTGTTCTAGAACCCTGTGATAGGAGAGAGAAGATAGGCCATTCAGGTCCACAATCATTCTGTTGTGTTTTCACTGAATAGGATTTTGATGCCAGTGTACACCTTACCTGAGCTTATGCAATGGGCATCTGGTATATGCACACAGACACACACAGACACACACAGACACACACACACACACACACACACACACACACACACACACATCCCATGCACGCTGGGAACCTTTTCCAGAAAGCCTTGATCAGTAAAACCTGCAGATGAAGGTAAACACCACCCATACCCAATGGGTTTCACTGCTCACTGCAGGTTCTTGACATCTCCCTGTTTCCTGCCCTAGTCTCCATACTGGCCTAGGTATGTCTAGAGAGGAAATGGCATCTCCCTGAGTTGGTTAGGAAAGCACAGGCCATGCACACTTCAGGTGAAGTCCATCAAATATAACCAAAAGATTCTCAAACTAGAAATCTTCATGTAGGGTCCAATCCCAGTAAATATATGGGATCCAACAGCCTCTAAACAGCACTGTGATGCCTGGAAAGATGGATCCCTTGGAGAGATACCTCCCAGCCAGAAGACAGAGCTATGTGGAGCAGAGCTGGCCTTTCCTGCTTTTTATTTTCTCCACTGACTAGTGACAGCCACCTTTTCCAGAGAGAAAGCTACATCTGATGAGGTCTAAACAAATCAATAGTTAGCTCAGCTACCTTCATGCTCAGGAGCTAGATTGGTCCAACGGTCTAGGGCCCTGCCTTTGGGAAAAAAAACAAAAACAAAAACAAAAACAAACAAACAAACAAAAAAAACCTTCCACAAATGGCTGGGGGAAGGTCCAGTCCAGATGTAGTCACCAATTGCTTGCACATCGGAACTAGGAGCCTTCACAGGAACCTGCTATCTCGCCATAGTTCTCACCTGGCCTCCTCTGAACCATGTGATCCCTGAGCAATGACCACTGGCAGTGTGTGAAGGAGCTTCCAGGCAATGTTGGAGGTGAACGAGAGAGAAATGCCAAGGCTTCTTGGTTCTGAGAGTCATGACTCCCAAAACAGCCTGAGTGTATGTAGCTCTTGAGAGCTCAAGGACCAGTTTACTGTAGACTTTTAGACCTCAAATATTAAGTGTGCCTGGCTTTCTAACGTTTTGTTTTCGGAAAATCCAATCTTGGGGAGGATAATGAGGCCCCAAGTGACTCCTAACAGGACTGATGATGGGGGTTTGCCTGGCTCTGAGATGTGGTACAGGTGAGACCACTGGAAGGCTGTTGTCGACAGAAGCAGTTTTCCTTCCTTCTGTCGTCGACAGAAGCAGACTTCAGTTTTTATGGTGCCCAGGTATTTTTGCTGGTGTCATGGGAATATAGAACCCACAAGCACTCCAGGGAAAGCAGGACCAGGTACACATCTCATCCTCTTTACCTTGATTTTTCTATCTGGGAAGTGGGCATCCAAGGCCCTCAGCTGTTTTTAGGAATATCTGAGGGCTCACCCAATTTCTGCAAAGCTCTTGGAGTCCTGGGTCAAAGTGCCTGGGAACTGACCATCAGTTTGTTGTGAAGCCTTCTGGCGTCTGGCACCCTGTCCTCCTTAGCACTCATGTGGCTGTCCGTAGGCTGCTTTAACAGAGAATAAGGGAGGCTCCTCGTTGGCTTCAGGGTGGTGCCTGCTCGCACCCAGCCACCCAGCCAGCTGAGCCTTACATTCGGACAGATTCATACATTGACAGGTGAAGGTCAGGCAGTCCTTTCCTCCCTAGTCTACCACTCAGGATGACCTACAGCAGAGTGAGCGCTACCACCCCCTCATAGCCACATGGCCTTGAAGCTTTCTCTACCATTTTTTTTTTCTTGTTTGCTTTGCTGATTGTGAATACTTCCTTCAAAAGAGGAAAATGCTGGCTGTGCCCTTTTGGGCGTGGAGGTGCCTGGAAACCCTGGGCTCTGAACGGGCAGATGACGAGTCGTGGGCTTGCAAAGGTTCAGGATGTGTAAGGAGTGACACGCTACCCCAGAGGCAGCCCTGTAAGCCTGAGTGTAGGAAATGGCGATTAACCCCAAGAGCCTAATTATGCCCTTCCTCCCCCTCCTTCTTCCTTTCATTCAGCAAACACGTAAAAGTGGTGCTATGTCAGGCGCTGTTCCAGGGTCTAGAGAGGACCAAGGGGAAGGGAGCGATCTTGGAAAGAGCTGTGTGTGGAGGGAGGAAAGCCAGTGCACAGGGGCCAGAAGGGAGGTTGTACCACAGGCACACTGAAGAGCTTTCAGGTCCCACAGGGAAAGTATAAGAAGGTTCCAGAAAGCAGGGAAGTTCAGATGGAGTTAGCATAGAAGGCGTCTGAAGAGGGAAGGGCCTACGTGGAATGGTTCAGACTTGGGCCACACTTTTCCTGGAAGCACAGTGTTTTAAAAAGAAGAAACATGGTCCTTGCACAGGGAGTGAAGTGAGAGACAACCATGGTGACTCGAGTGTGGTCCCCAGTGAGATTCCTCATCAAGGGAAGTGTGGTGGGAGGAGCACTCTACCTTGTTTATGACCAGGAGCTACTGGGGCCTCGTGACAAGAGCGAGGTGGCCTTAAGGAAGGCCGAGGAGGTAGTGCCACGAGCAATGTACCAGTTCAGCCAGTATGCGTGCCAGCAGACGGGTCTGGAGATGCCACAGCTCCCAGCCCCTCCAAAAATTAACTTTACAAACTTGCATGACTCCTGGAACTCATGCATCATCTCAGTCATGGAAGTTTTGTCTGTGGCCCCCTCCAAGGCCCAAGAATACTCCAAGGAGGGCTGGGAGGATGTGAAAGAACACAGCAAGTAACGGATGCAACCTTCCCCAGGGTTACGGGGGTGGTCAAGACCAGGATATGGCAGACCTGACCACAGTGGGAACTCCACTCTGAGGGCAGCTTCCAGCATTGCTGGCCCAATAAAGGACTTGGGAATGGTCCCTGACCAGTGCTCAGGTGGGAGCATGTAGAGAGCTTCTGAGGGACCTGCATTACCTGGGCTTTGGGGGTGGGTATTCCTGACTCCTGGCAGCCTTTGCTTGGGGGTGGGGGGAGGCCTGGCCAACAGGGATCCCTATGTTCAGATGTGATTTTTTTTTAACTTGAAGAAGAAGAAGAAGAAGAAGAAGAAGAAGAAGAAGAAGAAGAAGA